GATAACAACCGACTCATCTGTGGTATTCTTACTCTGAACAGCTGCGGTGAACCGCAAAAGAACAAGGTCTGAGATACCGTCAAGCTGCCCGAGCCTAGACCAGAGTGATCGGAAATCCAAGGTCGGGTTCGAACCACGGACCTTTCACACAGTATTTGCTTGTTCTAACCACGAAGCTATCCCGAACTCAAAGAGCTGGCTCGATACAGTCGACCCAGATGCTGAATGTCTATATCTACAGACCGGCTAAGGCCTAAGCAAGTGAATGTACTGATATCTGTTAACGCCTCGCTACCGACCACCGTGTACCACGGGGCGCGATTCGGGACAGTCAAGAAACTGGTCCAACGACATATAGGAGATAACCTAAATAAAGTAAAGTACAACATACTCTTGTAGGATCATCGGTCCATCTTTGGTCCACGAGAAAGACCCATCTTTAAATTCCACGGCATACGGTGTATCTATCGTAGCAAAAGGGAAACACAGGGACCGGATTAACGCATGGCAAATAACGAGGACAGTTTGAAAAAATCCAGTTGATGAAAACGAGGACCTTCATAGTGTCATTGATCAGCCGGCAGGCGATTTGTATTAGACGAGCTTGACCTGACTGCGAGATCGCTGAATGCCATCAGGATTAGCAAAATGTAACGCCAAGATGCGAATACCTCGACTTCGTCATAAACACGTCACTCCGTGAAAGAGGGAGTCTAACCCATCAGCGTAGAGCGAACCGGTTGAGTTAGCTGCGAGCCGTTTTACGTCCAACGGGCTCTTGAGTATAAACACTGCCAGAGCGGTTATGTACAATGAACCGACTGCACAATGGCTGATCTGCATTGGCATTGAAGAGGAGAACTGCGGACAATTGATCGAGCCAAGCTGTTTACGGTGAATTGCACATGTCTCGAGATAGACGGGGAAAATTTCCGACAACATGGTTACACCTCGGCCGATTAGCTACGATTGTGCACCAGGATGCGTTCTTATCTGTCCTGTGAGCAAGGGTTAATTTGTCTCATCGCTGGTCTGGCACAACTAATCTTAGCTCAGTGATGAAACGACCATCACTCGATCGATATCCAACCAAAGTACCCTTCTTTATTCTTGTGCTCATAGACTAGTATTATCAAGTGTTGCCGCAAAATCAACAGAACTGGATGCATCAAATCAATTCTAAAAGAGATTGATAGGAAAGGTATGTAACCCGAAATGCACCATACATGATCTCTGGCTTTCGTTCGGCGACCAGAGGTATACTACGATCAATGAATAATGTCCAAAACCGTTTCATTGGATGATTTTAATTCAGGAAACCAAAGAAGACATTATTGTAGCGGAAACAACCACCATACCCCGGTTAACACAGTTCTACTGTGTGAAAAGCAGCGAATAAAAAAACGTGCAGGAGACCCGAAAACCCGTCGAGACTGATTTGGTTACTTCAGGTTATTAGATGACGAGAAAATACGTTTTTGAAAAGCCAAACAATCGAAAAAGGTTGAATTACCACTAAATACCATAAGCCATCTGAAAAGGAATGAGCAGGAAAAATGAATACGACAAAGGTGTATGAACAAAGTATTCCAGGGGCAGGGGGAGAAATTTCATGTAATTCCATTCTCACATGAGGATAACAACGAGTTTGGTGGCGAAAAAGCCAAAAAGGCTAGAGTAGGCTTAGAGTAGGGGGAAACGGGACTTGGACCTCACGGGACGGTAATCAAAACTATTGATGATGATGTAGAAGATATGGCAACCTTCAATTAGGATTTCATCCTGTCAATGAAGCCGATTTAGATTAAAACGCAAAGAAGTACTATAGGACTGTTTGAACCTTATTGGAAGTCATCAGCAGCACACATCTCACGAAACTCCAGTACGTAGTTTAGAACCTTAGGCCGTTCTACACAGTTCTGCTGGTTAGTAGTGTGATTAGCTCTCCCTTGGACAGCATACAGCGCTTCTGATCAAGGAAACCACATCACGTGGTCACCTACAGACTGCACCTGCTCAAGTGTCGACTTCTCAGATGGAAGTTCCACTCGTCTGGTGAAATCACTCTTCCGGTGAGCCACGGATAGACTGGTGGCGGTGTGAGCAGATTTGGTGGTTTTCAGAACTATACCTCATAAGTGCCGTGACGTCATCTTGGGAAGTGATACGATTTCTGGAGGAAGTGTCTGTCAGTGTCAGTGAGGCTCAGAATAGCAAACTCATTCCAATTGACCCAGCAGAAGACTCAGTGTGTGGTACCGCGGGATGCTTGTAGCATTACTTACATTACTGTTTCATTGACATCCCGTTATTCCTGAAAACACGGTGGTTATGTTTGCTGATGAGCACTACGACACTCCGTGTATACACCCAATGTTGACAGGGAGAGGTGTCCTTCTGTAAGAGACATGGGTAACTTACCAAAGTCAACCGCTTGTGCTCCGTCGATAAACTAGCAGACAAAGAAAGCAACTGGGCTTTCTCAGGCAATCACGTGCGTCGACGGCACGATCAATATGCAAGTAGAGGATTTAAAGGTGTAACGTTTCTGGAACTAGATGTTGAAAACTTTGGTGGCGGTAGAAAGGTTCACTGCTCGCCCGTACAGTCCTACTCTATCGGAATTATAATCGCGGTGTTCTCAGGCGCGTGATAAGTTTGTTGAGAACCCTCTATCGGAGAAATATTCCAGAGGGGAATGGTTGAAAAGCCCTACCGCGAGACTTTGTCGGATTCTTGAAGCACTCAGCAAACGTCACAGATGGTGCGCGAACGCACGTAATACACTACTCACAAGGTTGCTGAAAACTCTTCGATAGCACACGAACGGTTTCACCCTTCTTGAGGCTCATCAGGTAGGCGCACTCTCTGAGTTTTCGTCAACCTTATGTTCCACTTGAACCCAAATGGCTTAAGAACACCATAAAAAAATGACAGGTCGAGCTGGGTTCCAGACGAGTCTCCCGTTAAAGCCAAATTCGTGTGCTAAGGAGTGTATCTGTCGAAACATTTTAGGCTACTTAGACGGGCATGTTGTTTCGTCCACCTGTTCTTCTTGTGGCGATCGAACATGCCAACTTCATGGTTGAATAATCTGTGAAATGTACTCACAAATACACTAGTTTGATTGTTTTAAACGAGATGGAGGCATGAAGGAGGCACGAGGGCTGGGATACAGTCAGGTTGCCCGAGCCTAGACAGGGGAAGTTGAGAGGCAGAGGTCAGGTTCGAACCACAGACCTTCCGGTTAGTAAATTCGCGCCATCCAAGTAGAATGATTGTCAATAGCTAATCAGTTACAGTGCAAAGGTTGCTCTTTGTAAACCATATAAACGCAGGCGCGAAGAGATGCACTGAAGATGTCTCCTCGAATGGTGACGAAACGTTTGCAGATCAATTGCCAAGCTCGGCGAACAGATCAACAGCTAGCTGATTTAATTCCCACTAATGCACCCGAGCTACCAATATCCCAACACACTCCTTGAGTGAAACTAATGTATATCAGTTGTCGAATGGATCGGTACACAGATGAGAGAAGTTCGTACAGCCAACTCGCTAGCCGAGTGACCAAAAATGGATGTCTTTCAAAGGTTTATGGAATTATGAGGTGGATTGAGTTGGTCAGATTTTTTCAGATGAAATCCGATCCGACCTTTTACCTTTCCTCCAAAACCATAAGGTACTGGAACACCTTCGTTTTCAATTTGGATCTAGCTGGGTGGTGTGAAAATTATACGTTTGGAATGACGAAAACAAACTATTTTTCCAGCTAGTCGATCAATCAATCAATCAATCAATTATTCATTCAGCTGTAATACCCTTTCAGTACATACCAGCCATGTCACGCGAAGGAAGCACGAGGTCTCAAATACTGCCAGGTTATCCAAGCCCAGTGAAACAGTAGCCTAGATGCCCACGGACCTTCCGATTACTAAGTCTGCACCTTAATTGCTGAGTTATCTCGTATATTTTCCCGGTTTTGTATTGATGTCTTGAGCCAACGACAATATTTGGTCAGGACGAGTCGAACCATTTCATCGCATAGATAAAACATGGCAACTAGAATTGTATCGCGCCTGTACAGAAAACGAGAAATAGGACTTCTGCAAGTTACATTGTCGTGCGGACGAGATATTTTGGCATTGCCTCGAGGATAGAGTAAGCCTTGATAAGGTAGAACGAGCTCCGCAGAGTGTTCAGTAATGGGTGTGAGCAAATCAGTTTGATGCCATTAACGAACACCGCCAACGGGCTTTCTCCAGTTAGTAAGATCGTTTCGGACTATCTGCAGAACAACTCACCGGTTTTCGCGGATCGCTCCACTGCATTGTGGTCTAGCTCGGGTGCCAAGAGGAACGCTCCAATGCGCTTGACAGAGACATATGCCTGGCAGAAGAAGGAGGAAGAGGGATCAAAAGGTCCGTCCGATAGCCTTACATAACGACGGTCAGATTGGTTACAATTTAGCAGCTATAGACTACGTGTAGAAGCCACAAAGTTGCCAGCTCCTACAGGTTCCAACGCTAAAAACAACAAGAAGAGAGGGAGATCCCTAGCAGAAGATCCAAATGATTGATACAAAGAGACAGAGCCAGTTGAAGGGTCAGAACGACGTACTAAAGGGGTGGGGAGGCAGAGGTGCAAACGCAGTGTCTCGCGCAGGAGCACATGTTGACAACAATCGTCACCATGTGTAAAATTCGGAACAAATGCCCAATCTACGTGTGTTGGGATTCGATCGATGAGAGACAAACGCTTGTTCCGGTTACGTAACATCTACAAATAAGCCGATCGAGTATGATTCGCAGAGCGTGCCTGGTCAGACAGACAAGCACCGATCAGCTCTAATGGTCAAACGAGACTACGAGCAACCACAATGGCGGGTCAGCTGATTGAGTTGAACCGAGCGTATCGATCAGAGTTGTGTCCGAGCTACACACAGTCAGGTAATCATCAGATCGGCGTAAGCGCGTAGTTGCGTGGACCTATGTATGACATGCTTTGTGTTGTGACAATGAGAGTTGTACTGACATTTAGAATAGCTCTTTTTACGGACCGCACGGTGTCCTCGATCACCAGTTCACCAAGCACAAGTGGTGGAAGTTGAACACCAATTCGAACACTCAGAATGTGTCAAACTCCGATTTAGCTTCATCTGGATCTTATGCTAAAACACCATCTTGGGCGCGCTATTTCATATAAGCCCACTTTGGTGTTCAAGCGCGAGAAAACATTGGGGAAGATCAGGAAAGGGAAAAGCATGTTGTTGAATCAGTGACGATGAAAAAGCACGTTTTTTTGTTAACGAAACACACTACTCATTAGGTTGCTGAAGATGCCTCGACAGTTCAACACAGGCTTCGACCTCACATATTAAACATCTGGGTCGACTGTGTCGAGCCAGGTTTTCGAGCTCGGGAAAGCTTACTGGTTAAAGCGAGGAACTATTGATCGGAAAGTTCGTGGTTCCAACCCATCCTCACCATCTCAACTGCTTCTGTCTGGTCTAGGGGGCGACCCAGTAGTATCTCAGCCCTCATGATTCCCTGGAGTGGCATGACAGGTATGCAACGAAAGTGTGCTACAGCCGGTCGATCAACTGAAGCCGACCAATTCTGTCTGTCATCCGGAAGCAAATTTGCTGGACAAAGATGCAACAGAGCATGATTTTGCTTGGTTTGCCGACCTATCCGGTCCGTAATCACGAGACTATTTGGGCTTTCCAAGTTTTATAAAACCTTTCCCTTGAGTCGTTGGCTTTGACACTGAAGACACACTACGGGTGGTTGTCGGTCTGTTTGTCGAGATTAACAATTAGCTTGCAAACATTTCGTCCCCAATCGAGGGGACACTACCAATTGCGCGCACCTCGAAATGCACACAAACCGACTGCCAACCTCGGTAAGCAGAATAACATCCACCTGGTCCACCACTGGTAAACTCACCCGAGCTAGCAATATTCTGATGCATACGAAATACCTGTTGTACATATAATGCGTATATATGTGTGTATATATCACTGCTATCCTTGTTCTCATTGTGTTAGACTACATCTCATCGAACCCTATTCGGTGCAGTGACCACCAAAGAAAGCAGCACGAGGCACAGAAACGCTCACATATTTGTTCAAACATCAACAGGCGGCTTGCACAACTGAGGCGAGATTTGGCGCATGTCAACTGTCACATTCCAGTCTCATTCACCACGTGAACATTCGTTTGTAACATTCCTGAGTCAGGCATGATCGAACTCGCACTCAGCGAAATTCTTGAATTTGATTACACTGATTACAATAAGGCTAAGCAATGGAAAAGGGCCCAACGTAAAAAACAGAACCCGTTTTTTTGAATCGATTCGCGGGGCCTTGGGATCGGTCATCGGTCTCAGAAACGGTTCGCAAATAAGCAGTGGAATGATCGTCTGGAAACCTTTCGCCTTGGACAAAAAACATTTGTCAGAACAATTAGAGGCATCGGATCAGGTCTGAATTCCTTTTGTTCTGGTTCGAGGCCCTTCGGTCGATAATACTCTAGTGTTCATCTGAGCTACTGGGTACAACAACAGTTTAATCTGGGGGGAGGGTCAAATCCACGACCTCCCGACATAACTGTTCGGCAGTGCGTGATCAGCTCTTACCTATACATAGCGCCACTCGTCCTTCATTTATGGAAACCGCATCTCGTGGTCACGAATTGACTGGCTTATCAAGCGAGGACTTCGTAAAATGGAAGTTTCTTCCATTGGGTGAATCTCGTACCGAGATTTATCTCGTAACTAATGGTGCCATGTCCTGCAGACCAGCTGCTCGTGGCCAAACAGTTAGGTGTCCAACCACTGACCGGAAGACTCCTGGCTTGAAACTGTCCGAGGTTTCGTGAGATGAGCTCCGCTTATGACTCCCAGTAAGAACGAAACGCCTGTAGAGCGCTTTTCGGCTTTTCTGCATGGATTATTTTCCTTTACAGGACGAAATCGCCATTAGAACTGGTGATGTTGATCGACATCCACAATGGCAGAAGCAAGTATACGACGCATGCACGTGTGAGATAGGCGCACAATGTGTGCAAATTGTGATGTTCACAACCAGCGATGTGACCCTAGAACTGCCGTCTCTTTACCGGTCCCATGAATCAAGCGTTGCGGTCCTGTGAAAGTGCTGACAAAATACACCAAAACGAATACAACCACACCGTGATGTTGATCGACATCCACAATGGCAGAAGCAAGTATACGACGCATGCACGTGTGAGATAGGCGCACAATGTGTGCAAATTGTGATGTTCACAACCAGCGATGTGACCCTAGAACTGCCGTCTCTTTACCGGTCCCATGAATCAAGCGTTGCGGTCCTGTGAAAGTGCTGACAAAATACACCAAAAAGAATACAACCACACCGGTGCGAGACTCACCATGATCACGGCAGACAAGCTCCAGGGTAGAAGAATCAAAGGAGCCCGAAGCAGATTGAACAAGCTGACGCTGACAAAAATGCGCTCGGGATCCAAAAACATGGGCATTGTGGCAGTTGCGTTGGATTTCACTGCACCGGTTTCGCCGTTCAACAAAAGACTCCAAGTGAACGTGACAAATGTGGTCAGGAGAATCACATATGGGGCAAGATTCCAAATCACATTGCCTAGGCCCCAGCCCAGGGCTACTCGCACCAGACGGCTCAGTTCGGTTGTTCGGATGCTGTCAGCTTGAGTTTGAAAGGCTTTCTCCCAGGCGTACAGCTTTATGACCTGGGAAAAAGAGAAACGTCATGAACGGCTGACTACACACTCAAGGATCCCTGTCGAACTAGTTCCTGAACCGTTGCCCTTTCAATATTACCGTTGCTCCTGGGGCTATAACTTCACATGGTAGTATATCACCAGATTGTGGTTCGAAACTGTGACAGCGCAGTGGATTATGCGATAAAAACTCGACAAAAGCACCGAATACAATAGCTTTGGGCGCCGGAGAAGGACATTATGGAGAAACAATGAGGCTCGTGCGCCTGAGGTTGTTGCATACGCTTGTTTGGAACCCGGACAAGATTGGATACATACGGTAGTACCATCGCTATAATAAAAGCGAACTCTGGTCGTTGGCTTGTTCGCTGAGATGGACAATTTGATTGCAAACGTTTCATCACCAATCGAGGTGACATCATCAGTGCGCTATTTGGGAGCGTAGTTGTGCGTAGCGGTGGGTTAGTGATTGTGCCACTGATGATGTCATCTCGATTGGTGATGAAACGTTTGCAATCAAATTGCCCAGTTCAGAAAACAAGCCAACGACCACCATCTACACTACCTGAGCTACCGACATTTTCCTCTATAGAAAAGCCAACTCTTAAAAGGATTGACCCCATAGCGAGGATTTGTGTGAGAAATGTGTGATGAACCATGCCTGGGCATATTAAAACGTTCCAAAGTGGATTCGAGAACTCACGGGAGAGCTTACTGAACTGGCCACAACATGTCAGCCGGATTAAGACGTACGCTTGATTTTTAAAAAAAAGCTGGGTGAAGAAAGACTTCACGGGCGAATGAGAAAGTGAGCAAACAAGTATGAATCAATGACCTGATATTTAGTAGAACTTGTCAAGTGACTAAAGAATCTCCATCGTCTGGAGGCTGCAGTAACTTTGTAATAGACTAGACAATGTCGCATATCTACCGCGCTGGTCTTCCTGGATGGGGACCCCAGACGGGCCACATCAATCGCAAGAGACATTGTCAGACATGGCCCAGTCGCGCCCTCAATGGCGCTCGTGCATCCAAGCTATTGCCTTCAATGCATAGCACCTTTTCCAACCCCAACCCCCACCCCACTTGACAGCCCACTGACAGTGCTGGATTTATGAACCAATTTATCAGCTCCCGCCTGCAACGCGCAGCCACCTATCTCTTCCCCCGAATCATTGGTGAACGAAACTGTGGCAGCTACAACCAGTGTACGACCAGTACGCGGTTATTGCAGCTGATAATGAT